TCGACCTTATCCTGGCAAATGCTGATGGAATTTCTGCAGGAGCTGCAAGTCAATGCTCCAATGCAGTGCGAGCGGCCACAGAGAAGACCAATTGGTCATGGCGCAGCGCTATTGCTGTTGGACGGCAGGTAGAGGCGCGGTCTCTCTCAGGGATGCCAGACCAGCTGCCAGAACAGGCAAAGAGACATTGCCAGGGACATGTAGGATCCCTGCAGGTTGCAGACAGAGGTCTGAAATTGGTAGACCGCATCGAATTAGCTGGGCCAAGCAGGGTGGGGAGTGAGTGCTGGGTCTGCCTCCAAAATCAGCTCACAAGTAGAATGCTGATTGTGATGTTGTATGTCTTTTTCTGCTGGCCGTGCTTTCTTTTCTTGCTGGCCTGCCAGAGATGCTGCGCTTGGCATCAGAGGGCTTGGAGCCCACACAGCCATCAGTGTCATCCAAACCCAGATGCTGGTTGTTGTTGACAGCGCAATTAAGTGGGACCTAGACACTCAACAGATCAATGGGCAATGAACCAACAGTGGCAAGGTGACGGCTCGTTGTATCCAAAACCAGGTGCCATTTCTTGCTTTGCTTTGCAACAAAGGTCAAAGTGGGGGAACCTGCAAGTTGCATCTGAGAGGTGTTCTTTCAGGAGCAAGCAAATGGCCCCTTGCTCCACACTGCTGGCACAGTCCTGTGTCAACCTAGCAAGGCACGCACATCAAATCTGACTGTGATCTTTTTGCCAGCAATGCTGTTCTTTCTAGAAGGGTGAATTCTTCCACATCTACAAGCTATTCTGTCGATGTCCATTCTTGATGCCGGGTACTGCCGGCAAATTTGGGGCCAAGCTATTTTTAAGGCCAGCGATTTGCTTCCGGACTAAACCCGACTCTGTGGTCTAAATCGACGTTAATTCTCGGTCCCCCGAAGTGATAGTCATTGCACAGTAGATTGTGTTTTGGTCTGCCAAAAGAAGGTTTGACGTGTACTGCCTGAGAGGTCATCTTGAGCTCCACTATGTAGTTGACAGCTTGCATGCCATGCTCCCTTCGACACGCTGATTGTTGTTGC